ATGCTTGTGGACATATACTCCCTTTCAAATGTTTAGTTAATTTCACCTGTATAACTATGTATGTTGGAAATATTGACATATGAACATAAATGATTCAAGCAAAAAAAACCTAAAACTTAATTTGTCTTCTTAAGAGAACCTTTATAAAAGTGCAATTTGATATGATAAAATGAATAAAAAATGATGAAAGGTAACAGATCTATGAAACAAAATATCTGTAAATGGTATGTGCTAATTTAAAACTTCTGAAATCAACAAGATTTAATATTATAACTTTCATAACTACATTAACATCTCAGAAGGAAAGAAAAGTGCTACAGCCACCACTACATCTTCTGGTCTTCCTGGGCAGACTCGGCACCACAAGGCGGGAAACTGGATCCATTTCCCATTACCAGCTGCTGGGAAGGTGTGATATGATTGGTCACAGCACTGAGATGAAACAAAGATTGGTCAGCCACGTCTTCAACCCCAGTGAAGATAATGAACTGACAGGAAAGGTCTCCAAGTTACCATTTCAGTGTATTTAGTGGTTTCTTGTATTAGGGTATGTTTCTAAGACGTGACCTCTGGGGAAATGGGGGTGGAGAATACCTGATATGTTTTGTATTATTCCCTAAAACTTAATGTGAATCTACAATTATCTTAAAACAAAAAGTTTAATAAAAATACTCAATTTAAAAATTTTAAGTAAACGTTAAGGCTGCAAACTTTTCTCTGTCATTTTTGGGATTGGTTATCACTTGTCCATGCGTGAAATTTAGACATGGAGTATTGGAAAAATACATACTGCAGAAAAAAACTTAGAAATAGGTGCAGTCTTGTGTTTTGTTGTTGCTGCTGTTGCGTTTTTGGCTGCTTGTGAGTCCCCGCTTCCTTATGCTGCAACAGTTTCTATATTTCCCTTAGTTACACATGTATAAACATATAGGGTATAGCCTCATGATCTCTGACATTGAAATGTCTATCAGTAATACAAATTAGAAATGTATTTATTCTATAATCTCTTTTAAAAGGCTAATTTTAGGTGATTTGGTGGTCAATCCATCAGCTCAGGATGTTTAGAAGTGACAAAAGTTAAAATAAAACCCACCTGAGCATATTGGTCAGAAAGAAATAGAAACAAAGGAAGAACATAGGAAGTGAATCAGCGCTTGTCACCACTTTTGGATGAGAGCATAGTCATAGTTGTAGAAAATGCAGCTACATGCTTGAGAAGATAACCAGTATTTGTTATTCAATATTTTAGAAGGTCAAGAAGATGGGTTTAGAGTCAAGGGCATACCACGAGAAGTGTATTAGAAATAAAATATGTGAGAAACCTTTTAAATCCTTTGGGCTACTATAACAAACACACTGAGTCATGGAGTTTATTAACAGTAGAAACCCATTTCTCACTGTTCTAGACGTGGGAAGTGCAAGTTCAAGGCAGATAAAATTGACGTATGTCTGCCTTCAGGCCCACTGATGGGCATCTTTATGATAAAAGTTCAAATGTTTTTCTAAATTAAAAAGTTTATAAAATAATGTTGCAGTAGACCAAGGTTAAACTACTGAAGGGAAAAACAGCTTGTGATAAAGGAAATGTCATCTGTGTACAATGTTCAAGTCTTCAGCAGTGCAGTGGTAGCCTAGGCCTGAATTTTTACCCTGCTCACTCAATTACCAGAGGACCTTTCAGGATCTCAGATCATAATATCACATAATTTTACAGGTATAATAATTTAATTTAATAACAATTTTAAACTTCTGAATGTTTTACATGCCTTTTCTATTTTTACACACACACACACACACACACACACACACACACACACACACACACACACACAGAGATGTATACTGTTGTGTTACACTTGGCCACAGTATTCAGTGTAGTAATATGTTTGTGGCTATAGTCAATAAGCTATGCTATGCAGACAGCATGTGTAGTATTATGTGTTGTCAAAATCTGTATATTATGTTGATACATGATGGCACCACCTTACAACACACTTATCAGAAATTATCTCTGTGGCTAACTGACACACAACTATAATAAAATAATGGATAGACACACAAGGAGAGAATGTAGTATATTTATAAAATTATAAATGATACAGCAATATTTCTTCAGACATTGTAGCTATTAAAGATATTAAAATTACTTTTTATTGTATATGAAGAGACTGAAAAATTGGAATCAATATCCACAATATTACTGACATATCCCTATGTATATGCCCCTGTACAAATTCTCGAAAGAGTAAACATGATGATTTTATTGAAGAATTCAGTGAAGTGAGAGTGAAGAGAGATTAGAAAATGAAATAAATTAGAAGGAATTTAACACATTCAGGGATGATTATAAATAAACTAAGTGGTGGGAAGAAAAAATGATATATAAAAAGAAAGCATGGTAACTTACCCTTTCAATACAGCACTGGGAGGCAGAGGAAAGTGGATCATTGTGAAACTGAAGATAACCTGGTCTATCTATATAGGGAATCCCAAGCCAGCCAGGGTTAGACAGTGAGACTCTGTCATAAAAAAGATATAACATACATATAACTGGAATTCCAGATGCATAGAAAAAATGGAGCATAAAGAATACTTGAAGACAGCAAGGCTTATGTCACTTGCAGAGGTTGGGAGTTCTTGGGATGGAGGCAAAGGCTCCAGTACTCCAAACAGAATTTTTGAATAGTAGAAAGTTGTATAAGATTAAAAGAATAGTAATAAAAATTAGTGTAAAATGACTGAAACTTAAATATAACTAGAAAAATAGAATCAGATAGAGAAAAATAGAGATTACTTTCAAAAGAACAGTGAAAATGTTGTCAGTTTACAACAGAAATAAGAGAATCCAGGAAAAATGAAAAAAATATTTAATATATTTAAAGAAAATTGTCATCCATCTAGAATCCAACCGTTATCACAATACTGTTGGAAAATAAATGTAAAATGAGGTGGTTTAGGTACACAAGCAAGTACTGAAGAATGTGTTAGAAGGTGTTCTTCAGATAAAAATTAAAATAAGAAATTCTATACTGAAACTCAGAGATTTGGGGAGGAACAATGAGAAGTATGAGATAAGTATGAACATTGATTTCAAAATCATTCAAACGGCTGGTCCCCAAATTTTGCAAGCTCCTATGTCTTATAAGGGTTTTCTATTCAGTTTAAGATTTTTGCAATTTTTTTTGCATTGGAATTTGTGTTTTGACCAAGTTCCCAGACGTTACCAATGCTGCTGCTAGGGGCCCAACTATGACAGCCATTGAGGAATGCTGAGTGTATAAAAGGCTGAGGGGTTTATATTTTGTATTGAATTAAAATATAGGCATATATGAACAGTTATTTTGTGAAAATGGGTGTCATATTTCCCATAGGACAGGGGAAAGGTAGTTTTCTCAATACATAATGTCTGTACATGATGCAGAATCAATTGGATACTCTATAGAAAAAAAATCAGTTCATGCCTTTCTCATGTCATTCACTACACATATTGCCAAGTGGACTGGAATTCTACATGTGAAAAGGAAGGATAAAACTTGTAAGTGTATTGGAGAAAAATGAAGCAACAATAGGGACCTTTTCAGAGGACCTAGAAAGTCCTTAATAAGGGGAAATTGAAACTACATTAAAATCTACTGTTCTGATAATCAATAAAACACTACCAGAGAAAGAAGTGTCAAGACAAAGAGAGGAAAATGCAAATCCAGGCCTCTTTGAGATTTCATCTTACACCTGTCAGAATGGCTAAGATCAATTAGGCAAGTGACAATTCATGCTGGGGAGGATGTGGAGTAAGAGGAACACTCATCCATTGCTGGTGGGAGAATAAACTTGTACAGGCATTATGGAAATCAGTGTGGCAGTTCCTTAGGAAGATGGGAATTGATCTACCTCAAGATCCAGCTATACCATTCTTGGGCATTTACCCCAAGGAGGCTTCATCCTATCAGAAAGGTACTTGCTCAACCATGTTCACTACTGCTCTATTTGTAATGGCCAGAAATTGGAAACAAAACCTAGATGTCCATCAACAGAAGAATGGATAAAGAAAATGTGTTTACATTTAAATTTACACAATGTACTATTATTCAGCCATTAAAAAAAATGACACCATAAAATTTTCAGGCAAATGGATGGAACTAGAAAAATCATCCTGAGTGAGGTAACCCAGACTTAGAAAGATGAATATGGTATGCATTTGCTTTTTCGTGGATAGTAGCTGGAAACTTAGTGATAACCAAGCTATAAGCCATAGAATCAGAGAAGGTAGATAAACCAGGTAGATAAAGAGTAAAGGACTAACCGGACTAGACAGATATGTTAGAAAATTGAAGTAGAATAGATAATTATGGATGGATGGATGGATGGATGGATGGATGGATGGATGGATGGATGAGGTGGGAGTTACATCTAATTAAGTTGTTGGCTGAAGAGGTTCTAACCCCTAAACAACCCAGCTGTTGCCAAAACTATGTAGATTGCGCTCCACCAACTGACCCAATTGCTGCATGTTCAGGGCCTGCATGGATATGCACCAGGTCCTCTGCATATATATTATGGTTTCCAGTGTAGTGTTTTTATGGGATTCCTGAGTTGGGAACAAGTGGGTCTCTGATTCTTGTTCCTTCTTTTTAGCTCTTTTCCTTCTGTTGGATTATCTTGTCCAACTTTTATGTGATAGCTTTTGTTTTATCTTAATGTATATTATTTTGCGTTATTTGAAAAACATGAATGAATGAATGAATGAATGAATGAATGAAAATCTAACTACTGGGGTAAAGGTTAGCAACCGAACTGTCATTTGTACCTGCTGGGAGAGGGAAAATCATTTTTCTCCAACAGAGTGAAACCGGGTAGATCAACCACTTCAGAATAGGCCTCATGCTCAGGAGTGGTTGATCAACATATAATGGACTCCACAGTTTTTTTTTTTTTTTTTTTTTTTTTTTTTGGTGTGTGTGTGTGTGTGTGTGTGTGTGTGTGTGTGTGTGCGCGCGCGCGCGCGCGCGCGCATGCGCATGTGCTTTTATTTCATTACAGTTTGGTGCTTTTGTTTTGTTTTGTTTTAATTTTTCCTTTTTGAGTGTGGTTTTACTCTGTTTTATTGGTTTTGGGGTTTTGTTCTTGTATTGGGTTTTTGTTCTTGAGAAGAAACATGAATGGGAGGAAAGATCTGGAAAGACTTGGGGGGAGGAAAGAATATGCTCAAAATATATTTAAACTTAAAATTTATTTTAAATAATAAAAAATACCATGATAAGAGTCTTGAGATATGTCTCAGTGGTAGGGAGAGTGCTTGGTAGCATGCTAAAAAGGTTGTGGTTCCAAGCTTTGGAACTCCAAAGTAACAACAATAGCAATAAAATCTATCTGTCTATCTATCTATCTATCTATCTATCTATCTATGATCTATTAATAATGTATCTAATTTATCTATCATATATTTATCTGTCTGTCTGTCCAATCTAATCAAACAGTTCCATTTTAGGGAAAGATATTAGGCAGTTTTTAAAATATATCAAGAAATCCTAATTCTTTTAAGGTAACAAATGAACTGTCTATAGTTTCAGGGATGCTGGTAGCAGTTATGATGAAAACTCCTGGATTATCAAGCGAGCAGGCAGCATGAGTATCTATGTGTCAGGCATTTTGTCCTGAGCTTCATTCCTATAGAGTTAAGAAAAGAGAGTCAGGTGATACTTATACATCTAGGAGGCACTTTCTGAGTATTGTATCTCTAAGTTCAGAGCATTTACACAAGCTTGCTTGCCTTTTGCTCAATACAGAGATATTATAGTCCTCTGGCTATATATAGACTTACCTTTATTGCAGATGGAGGTACTATTGTCTCCATCTTTCAGGGTCCCTCCAAGGTTACTGCTATATAAACATCTTTGAAGAGTTAGTCTGGAAAACAGAGACTTAATATCTTTTTTTTGTAAGATGTACAGAAACACCAGAGTTGTAGAAAATTCATTCTCAATGATGGTGATAGCTAAAACTTGTTTGTAAGTTGATATGAGGCAGGAATTTCTTCCAACTCTTAGATATTGGTAAAGCAAATTTATGTGGATACGTTAAAAATATTCATATCCATGGGTTCTCTATCCGTGAATTCAACAAACGAGACTTCAAATACTTGCACAAACAATTTTCTTCCTTACTAAACATATATAGACATTCCTTTTCATCATTGTTTCCTAAAGAATACAGTATGAAAACTTTATTTCCACAGCTTTTGCACTCACTGTGTTCATTAACACCAGTAATAGAGAGATGATTGAAAGTGCATGGAAGAAATGCATAGAATACATACAAATACTCTTGCATTTCATATATGTAAGCCTCTGCAGAGTTTGTTAGCCACAGGATCTGGGAATCAATTTCCCATGAATCCCAAGGGATGTACAGTGTACATGTAACATATATACCACAGACACATACACACACCAGATACATGCATAAGCACACACCTATCTATTTATATGACTAATTTCTCATCTCTCGCATTTAAAATGTAAAACAATGGCTATGTATGCATGGTTTATTCCATTTTTCTGGTCTCTAAGTTATTTCACATGAATTTAATTAACAAATGGTGTAGTGTGCCATACCATACTCCTTTCTTTTTATCAATTCCATACTCAAGAAAACAAAAGTAATGTTGTAAAATTTGAGAGTATAGCAGTCTTAAAGTGTGGCAGCTTCAGTCCACCTCCTACCCACAGAATGTAGAACATTACCCCAAACTGGAGTTCAGTAAAGAGTTGCCGCATGGGGGTTTTTGAACTCAGGACCCTTTCTTACAGTTTGAGAAATGCACACTGTGCTTTGAAAATTGAGAACATTTCTTCTTCTTCTTTTTAAAATATGTTTCCAGGCACCATAAACTCAAGGGTTCTCTTTATTTATGATGATTCCAGCATAAAGATGCATCGCAAGGGAAAAAGCGTATCTCTAGAAGTCACTGAAAACACAGTGTATTAGGAGTCTCCTCCACCCCCACCTCTATCCTTTAACAATTGTGATTCTTATGGATATTGTTGATTTTTGCCCTGATTGCCATTTTCATCTTCAACAGGAATTTAGTAGGGAGAGTTTACTGCCTAAAACAAATCCGTGTAAGTTCCCCCAGGGGAGCAAACACCAGCAATATGCTGAAACCTCTGTGGTCTTCCTTAAAATTAAATAGCTCTGTGTACAACAAAAGCAGAAATTACAAAATGTTTCCGTCCTCCTTTCGCATCAAAAATCACTCCCTACAGGAACCAAAAAAGGTTTGTCAGCCTCAGTTACTGAGCAAGAGCAAAGGCTACTCTACAGGACACTCCGGGGTCATGCACACAAAGGGTGAGCGAGGGGTGTGGGGGAGGCTGGGAGGCAGTAGCTGTCCCTCCTGGTCAGTAGCAGCCCGCCCCGGCTGGGACCTGGGGACCTGGAACAGGCTAAACTTGAGGCTCGGGATAGATATTTGAATGCCTCCCAAATTGCGGTCCTATCCCTCAGAGGCAGGGAGAGGAGCGGAGTGCGTGCGCGAGCGCTTACGTCGCCTCGAGCTCTGTGCTGGGATAATCAGGAGTTGGGCTGAGCCGAGTCCTCTTTTAGCAGCAGCCGGCACAGGAGTGGCAGCAGCCGCCCCAGGGACGCGCGGGACCCAGCGCCTCGGAGCGCACGGGGACAGCTGGTGCCGGGCCGCGCCGGGCCACCGCTTGGGCGCACAAAGGTAAAGGCGGCCGCAGCCCTTGTGGCCTGCCTGGTCCCGGCGGCGTTCCCGTCCTCTCCCTCCTTCCTTTCCCGAAGGCGAAAATGGCTGGGCCGGGCGAGGACCTGGGACAGCAGTGGTCCTAGCTCAGCGGGTCCCCACCCTTCCTGCTGACAGGGGCGGCGGGCTGTCCTTGGATGAGGTGGCTGAGGCTGCTGCTCCCTGGCGAATCCTCAGCCGGGGTCGCAGCCACCGGCTCTCTCTCTGCTTGCTCCATCCCTCCGAGAGGAGTTGATGCTGGCATCACCCCGGCCACCGCCACCACCTCCGCGGAAGCCAGTGCTGATGGATGCTGGGGAGTGCCGCATTGCTTAGTGTCCCCGCCTCCGGGTTTGCTGGTAGGAGCTGGCTGCTCTTTCTTCTTTCTGGCTTTGGGGGCGGTGGGGCGACGGGGGGTGGGGGGTGGGGGTTAGCAAAGATAGAGACATTTCTATTTCATTCTCTACAACTCCCTGCACCCACCCTGGTTTTGACATGTATGCTCCCAGAGAGGTCTCCTCCCGTCCTTATCCTCACCCTCCACTCCCTTGGCAAGTGCCCTGAAATAAAGAGATAGACTAGGCAGAAGTTGGGGCGGGGGTGGGGGAGCCCACGCCCGTGTCAACGGTACCCAAAACCCAGCTGGAGCCTTATGAGATCACGGTGTGTGGAAGAGGGCCGGAGGGAAGGGTGCATGCTTTCTGCAGTCTCCCCTAATTGGATCACAATAACCTAAAGTAAAAATCGCCCCAAGATGTCCTGTAAAAATAGCATCTTTGAATAAGCAGAGGGAGAAACAAGCTCCCTTCCCTTCCCTTCTCTCCTTTTCTTTCTGTCAAAGACTCTCCCTCCCCGCCCTGGAGCTCAGCGCTGAAGAGCCACCTTATTATTAATCAGAATTCCCCTCTTTATCCGTGGCAGGCACATCCTTCAGCGGGGACCGCAGCAGCAACTCGGTGCTGGGGCTGAGATGTGCCTGGGGTTTGTTTTCCTTGCATCTTACAAGAGAAGACAGAACCAAGACCCGAAGCGCCCATGCTAAGTGGAATTAGGGGTTCATTCTTTCTTTCTTTCTTTTTTTTTCTTTATTCAGAGAGATAAAGGGCAAGAGGCAGGCTTTCAGGGCCTGCCCAGAGGCCCACTTTTAATGAGAGGCGTTGTTTTTTAGGGGGGCTGGGGTTAGAAGTTTAGATACTCTCCAGAAAAGCTGTGGGGGGAAAAGCAGGAGCAACAGGGTACTTGACTGAACGTGAAGAGGAACCATTTCCTGTACAGGAGAGGAAGCAGACAGCCGCTAGGAGGACTGGGGGCCTGAGTGTGGTGTGGAGGTGGCAAGGGCCAGGTGTGTTGTTGGACACAAAAGGAGAGCTTCAGGGTGGACAGCTTGGGCACAAGGTAACAATGACTCATTTGCAAGCTGGTCTCTCCCCTGAGACCCTGGAGAAAGCTCGCCTGGAACTCAATGAGAACCCAGACACTCTGCACCAGGACATCCAGGAGGTGAGGGACATGGTCATCACTAGGCCAGACATTGGCTTTCTGCGCACCGATGACGCTTTCATCTTACGCTTCTTGCGGGCCCGGAAGTTTCATCACTTCGAGGCTTTCCGCCTCTTGGCCCAATACTTTGAGTATCGGCAACAGAACCTGGATATGTTCAAAAGCTTCAAGGCTACTGACCCTGGCATCAAGCAGGCACTGAAGGATGGCTTTCCTGGGGGCCTGGCCAATCTGGACCACTATGGAAGGAAGATTCTAGTCCTTTTTGCTGCCAACTGGGACCAGAGCAGGTAAAATCTAAAATTTTACTTATGATCTTTTGACCCCTCAGTTTTTTAGAGTTTACTCCGAGGAGTTTTGGGATGTTGCAGCTCCGATGCTTTTGGTTATTTGGATGGAGGCGAAGGGGACACGGGCCTGAGAAATGAGCTTTGGGTCTGCTCCCTGGGAAGAAATTGTATTTTTACTTTTTAAAACTTTCTTCTCTGACATAGTTTCTTCTGTAGCTTTACGTGCTCCCAACCCATATTATTATGCTGAGAACTAAATCACAAAACTGTTAAATAAAACTTCTAAAAATTTTGGGCTTCTAAATCCTCATGTTTAATAATGTGGAGAAAGCGGGGGGGGGGGGAGAATAGAGACAACTTTTTCCTTCTTCATCCTCAAGAAATTCTTAAAGTCAGCTCCTCATCACGATTGTCATTATCGTCTTTCTCCCTCTTACTGACATTTTATCTCCCCCAAACAGCCTGGTGCTTAGCCAAGAACAGGCAGTTTTATTGCTTGGGAAGTTTTCTGCTTGGTGATGTGTAGATGAAGGCGTAATATGATAGGTGTCACTTCAATGAGAAGGAAGAGTTGTACCCTCTTCTGTCGCTGAGCATGCTTAGTGACACTGAAAATAAAGGCTGACTGGTGTGTTTGTGTTCTACACCTGTCTCTAATCTGAAGGGCATGCTTCCTGTCTGATGCGATTGCTCATGTTTTTGAAGTGGGAAACTTTAAGATCCATCAGCTGGTAGACTATGAGCTCGGGTGCTGTTTAGTAGAAGAGAAATAATACTCTTACTTCCTCTACTTTACTGTAGAAAAATGCTGACAGTGACGTTTCTATGTCCTTCACAACTATTTTTCTCAGATGGAAAGACATAAAAATTATAAAAGGCTCTTGGGTAAGGTAGTTTCCATCAAATACAAAGTTAGATATATTTCATAGCATTTATGAAACCAGTTGTTAAGACATTTGGTGTCTTTAGTTCTGTGAATGCTGTCTTTGGATGCATCTGGTTAGTTTAAACTATTTCTGGAGCAATGTAAATGATTTCTGCAGTTAAGGAGAGATCAAATAACTTGAACAGATTCCTCAACAGACTTCTGAGAGTATTAATAGTATGTTAAAATGTAAATGAATATTTTAATAGATTTTCCCTTTTAATTGGTCATATTTTCCTGCAATTCTAGGTTGAAAGGTTCTACTGATTTTTTTCTAGTAAATATAAAGATTAACTGTTATATATATATATATATATATATATATATAATATCTAGTAAATATAAAGACTGTTATTAACTGTGTTAGGAACTCACAGACAGGATTAGCTACAGGATGGGATGAAGTCCCCTTGCTTTGGTGAATCCTATGGCTCTCATATTAATTTTTTTTTTGGGTGCGGAGTTCAGGTAGGAAACTTTAAAGGATTATGCAGTACCAGTCATTGACTACATGTTTTCTGTGAGTGTTTTTTTCTTTTAATGTAAGAAGTTCACCATAGAATTATGCAAACCATTTGTGTCTATCAAAATGTAAAAATTAAGTTGACACAGAATCTCATATTCCTTATATCAGCTGGATTAGAAACATATTCATTGAGCTATGGTGTTACGCTATATTGAAAGTATGGAGACATTTTATATTTAAATATGTCTTGAATCTGTTAGAAGTCTTGAGAGGCAGGTTTCACACACACACACACACACACACACACACACACACACACACAATTGTTTTTTTCTGTAAGTGAACAAATATTATTAACACTTTATAAATCATACCAAAGTGAATGTTACTTGCAGTTCTCACGTGTGTAGGAAGAGTTATTTTGACTATAGGAAATACAATGTGTTTTAGTTGCTTATTGTATGCATTAATAAAAAAGACAGGCTATTAATCATCAAAACTCTCCCTGAAAATCTATAGTGGGAGGGAATTTATTGATTGGCATGTAGAATTATTTTCAATAAGCCAATACAAGATGATAAGTAATAATAAATGCTTGTGCAGTTAAAATTAAAATGAGAAGCCACATTTTATGGACATGTACTATCAGGATCTATACCTCATCCAGAAGGCACAGTGCATCAACAGGAAAAAGATGAACCTGGTTTAGGGATTGTCTAAATTTCAGATATTTTCCTCCTTCTTTGCTCATAAAATAAAATAGTTCATTTTCTTTTCTTACCTATACCAAGCTTCAAATCAACACATACTGATGGGCAGGGACACAGATAAACTGTTCTAAATCTTGGCATTCTCTGGAAGCCTTCATCTTCAGGATATATGATTAAATAGTGCTGTGATCTCTGCCTTAACATGGAAGGGAAGCTGTCTCTCACAGTGCCTGAGCCTCCTCAGGTCATTTCAATCTGGATTTCCTCTTTTGGTTCTAAGTCCTGTGGCTTATCTTACTTGACTCCTGTAGAAGTCTCTGGTACCTTCTCTATATGATACCTTGGTAATAGTGCTCTGTTAGGTGCCCATGTCCCATGCCACATTCTCCTATTCTCCAGCCCTCTCTTGCTCTGTGGTTCAGGTATTTGCACTTCCCTTTCTGTCGTCTTGATAGTCCCAAAGCACCTGAGTTTAATAAGCCTGCATGTCTGAACTTAGCTCTGACCACATCCCTTGAGTTGAACAACTGTTTTTAAAAAGTAATGTTGTTTTAAGGAAAGAACAAGGGGATTGTAAATGACTAAACAGGGAAATTTCAGACATTGAGAAAAATCCACAACCCACATAATTTAAGGGGATAGGGTTTATATACAATTTGCCAAGTACAGAGGTAAAAAGAAAATGTATGGATTTTGAAAAAAAAAAGTCAAGTCTATGGAAAGTTAATCTGGTAACAGAAGCATTTGAACTAGAAAGTAGAGAGACTCAGAAAGAACCCGAGTTGAAATAAAAGTTTCACAGTTTTTACCAAAAAATCTAAGTGGGAACTTAGCTGTGATGAATTTTCTCCTGTACTGTATAAGGAAGAAAAGTTTCGATGTTCCCCAGGACACTGAACCTTTAAGTGTGAGAGGAAAGCATAAATAAAATAGTGACTTTTTCTACTGAGTTACAGCACAAGTTAGTTTGGACTTACTATAAAGAACTAAACCATTTCTCAAAACTTTCCGAGACATGG